ATGCAATGTGAAGTCTAACTGGATGCTCAATTTACTGGTTCCTTGAACTCCGACAGTCTTTCACACTATAGAAAAATATGAAGTAAAACTCATACATAACTGGATTAAATAAAAGGATGATCGGTATAACAAGGTTTCACTAACTTATAACAATGTAATTTTCTGAATCTGTGGCAAGATTTCTACTGCCTTTTGCAGGGTGGTCATTATTGTTGAGACGGATTTTTGAAATACACAAGTACTATTTGAAAGGAGTTAGAATCCTAAAGGTACAACACAGTTTTGTAAGTGTTATACCTTAACTTTAAATGCTTTTGCAGCTCTAAATGTGTTAAGGGATATATTCTAAGAATGGCTTGGCATTTCAGTTGACACTAATAGGGATAAAAGTGTTTTGAAATATTAAAACTAGACAGTAATTTGCAGCAGACTTTACATCGTACTGCTCATAAAACTGGGTCACATGAAGATAGAGTGAGATTACTTTCTTTCATGGGATTAGTGTTTAGAAATAATTTCAGAACATTCAGCTCTTTGTATAGCCTGTGCATGTACAGGATATGAATCTATAACACCAAACTTTCTTTTACTGGATGCTGAAAAGAACAACTTTTACATTACACTAAATTTTGTTTCAAGTTCTGGCCATTTGTCTTCCAAATGATAATATACCAAAAAGTTAGAAAACCCCAAAAACAGCAAAAACCAAAATCCCACATAAAAACCCCAAACCCTCTTTAATTCAGATTTAATTGAGAGGAAAAATCAGTACTAACCCTCTTAGTATTTTCATTATGTTTTTCCTTTGAGTTGAATAAAACTTCAACAGGCTTATAAATCAAGAACACTTTAAAAAAGTTTTATTATTAAATAATGCAGCCCCCTTACTATAGCTTGAATAAGAGTGTTGGCCATTTGTGACTGATAGACAACTAAATTCAACTGAAATTTTACCTTTTAATATAATTTTATAGGAAAAACTGACATACTGAAAATGCCAAATTACTTAGGAAATTAATGGCACCTATTAATTAAATAATAATTCTTAAAATGATTTTTTTAAAGTCAAGCATGTCCAAAAGAGGTTTTAACCCAGCAGTTTCAGAGTGATTTTTTCATAACTGCCTGTCTGACCATCTGTGGATGAAACTGAGAATAAGAAAATCCCAGTCAGGTCCTAGGGAATTGAGAGTTGTATTCAGTACATACAATCCAACTTCCCCAATGCAAATATGCATTCATTTACAAAAGCTGCAGGTACTACAAATTCAATTGTATCTTCCTATTGCCAGTCAAGCTTAGCACTTCAACAGTAATTTACTCATAACCAGATGGAGTCAAAACCAGCTGTGTCTCAGAACAGGAAACACCTTATATTTCTTTAAAAGGCTACTGCTAAAAAATATTACTATGAGATTAGGGCATGAGTTTATGCAAATATATTTGTGCAAACCTTCTCTTGGACTTTATTTTTGTTGCATAGGAAGCCATCTCCATGCCAGGATTTACAGGTACTTTGCTGTTGGGTACAAAATGTTGTATATAATATTGTGTAACAATTTAGGAAAAGTGGAAAATACAAATACTACTACTATAATTCAATGGTGACTTGACCTATTAAAGATAACATCCTAGTCAAATAAGAGAGAGAAATTTTAGTTATTTAAATTCATTCCCACTTTGGTTTCATTATGACACACTAAGATACTGTGTCTCAAGAAACATGGTGTTTCTTATCTAAAATATACTTCAATGGATGTTGTCAACTTCTTTTAATAATTCCACCTTTAAATAATTCTTAGAAAGTGACAAGACAGTAATTGCAATAAGTTCCTTAAAGCATTGATCTAGACTTGAAAAACTAATTATGCTTAGCTGATTTTTCGGTTATTCTTAATAAATAAAAAGGGCAAAACCCATGCTTTCCTGATTATATTCCAAACTGGTTAAAGATTTCCTGAAACATTAATCTGCTTCATAGAGCTAATTTTACTTCAGTTAGCTATGTTCTCAAAATTGAAAGCTCCCACTGACTTCAGTGTGACAAAGGGGGATGCTTGACCCTAAGCATGATGGAGGATCTCAGCAATCTTCATATGAAGCACAAATTCAGCTTTATACATAATCTAAAAGTAAAAAAGTCAAACCACTCAGGAAATGCTTCCCCTTCTGTACAAAAATTCAGAAAAAAAGTTCCCCAACTCTGTTCCAAGAACAATTAAGCCAGGATTAAATATGGTTTATGTTGACACAGAACAGCTAACACTTGTGTCTAGGTATCCTATATTTTAGAGGCCTTGTCTAACTGCTGACCAGTGTTCCTCCAGTCAGCTTCATCCTTTACCTGAAGATGAAATTTTCAAAAGAAAAAAATATATTTCTAGTTAGCAGGGAAAAGAATCACTGGCAACTAGCTATAGCAACATACAGGTCTTGGGCACAAGCTTAAGCATTTTGTTATTATTATTGATCTTTATAACAGTAATTTAGAAGAAAAAATATTTGAGTATTCTATTACTGAATTTAAATCTATCCATGTTACTTTTTTTTTTTTTATTTTCTAAAATTTTTACTTGTTATGATTTTGACCAAATAAAAACTTGAAACCTCAAGAAACTTTGTAAATCTTACAGGCAAATATAAATGGCAAAGATGCTTTTGCAGCTCCTGTCCTTGAAACTCTTTGCCTTGATATATAACAATTTCCTTTCCTTTTTCCATATTTTTTTCAATTAAAAAAACCCACCCAAACAAACCCTTACAGAAGTTAACTAAGAATTAGGATACCCTAATTAGGTACATCACTCCAAGGCACAAACCAAGTAAGCCTTAGATAGCAAACAGACTGCCTGTACCTGAAAAGGCTGGGACTGACCAGAAAAGTGAACAGCTTCCACCTAACTATGCTTTTGGCTTGTCAGAACAAGAGGCTTAGTAACTGAGAAAGAAGTAGGCAGACAGTGACTGCTACAAAGAGGGCAATCCCTTCCAGAAGTCAGTTCCACTCCTCTCTACTTTCTTGCCCCTCATTGCTCTCCCTTACCCTTTCTCTATGACAGCAGCAAGAGAAGCAACTAGGCATTTCTGAAGCCTGGTTTAGTTCCCTTGTCCCACTTCATATCCATAAGCAGGGCTCAGTCCTGACCCCTTCTCTGACCTCCCCTAGGACTTCTGACTTCTCCAGCCTCAGACATCAAGACCAGGCCTGATAATGCTGTTACAAGTTTGGACAATGGAAGGGGAATCAACTTTCCTATCTTTTTTAAGAGGAAAAAATTGACATACTCTTAATTACTACAGATTTATTTAACTATTTACTGTTATGGCTTCTTGAATTGTTTAAGTAGGCTTCTCTGAATACTAATGCTCTCTTCTGTCCCTATGGTGCATCTTTGAAAACTGGTGTCCTCATTCGTGAGGCTACAAATAGCTAATAAACGAGCTGGCCTCAAGGCAGTGCACATAACATTCTGCATTTAATTCTTTCCTGGGTAAATAGTGAAGGTGAAATGAAGACAAGTTATACATGGAGAGAAAACAAAGAGACCACAGTCAGAAAAGAAGTCTTTCTGGCGCTGGACACAGCACGAGGAATGGGAAGGGACGACATACTCATGAAAGGAGCTGGCGGAACCACCACCTTAGCGAGGTGCAGCTGGAACTTAAGTGGGGTGCGGCTTCTGTCCACAGGTGCTCTTGGGAAGCTGCGAGAAGGCCAAGCGAAAGGTGGCAGCAGCGAGTCGCTCTTCAGCCAGAGCGCGGCGGTGGATCTCGCCGGGTGCCACCGGGCCGAACTCGACGGCGAGCACGTCGTGTTATACCACGGATGTTAAAGCGTTCCTGTGATGTGCGCGCTGGTGGGGCCCTGACACGGGAGGATGGCCGCACTGGGGTCTGCCCTGACCCTCGCTTTGCCCCGTCCTGCGGGGGCCGCCGGCCGCCGCTCACACCGAGGGGAAAGCGGCATTCCCCCCCGTCCCGTGCTGCCGAGCCGCTGCCGGCAATTCACCGGCTGTAGGCGTTGCCCTGACGCTTCAGCCGAGTAAACGGGTTTCCCGAGTGCTATGCTGACACTCAGGTGGCTGCGAGGGTGAATTAGCGGTAATTACAGCAGGCAGCAACCAAAAACCTGCTGTTTTTCCTCAGTCACCAAAACTGCGCGGCGAGTTACGAGGATCGATGGAATGGCAACTTTCAGGTGAGTGCTGCAACTGCGTTCTACACAAGCTTTTCAGCGAAGGGTTAAGCGTGCGCATCTTAAACATGACTGTCACACATTGTCCTCCCTGCTCTTGCCAAGACTTCTGAAAACATGGTAGATTTTCAACCTAGGCTTCCCAAAAATGGGGAGGGAAAACCAACCGAGCAGTGGAATCGGCTCTCCCTTCCCTGTTGCTTTTACCTTTTTGCCTGCCAGCCCTCAAGTTTCAGTCATCGAGTCCAAGGCAGTGGGTGTAGCTGTCATTGCCAAGCGACTGCTCCCCACCGACGCCCGCCCGCCGGCCGGCCTGCCTGCCTGTCTCCCCTTCCCTGGCAAACCGCAGTCCCCGGGCAGTGCGGGGAAGGCACCCTTGGGAGACATGGGGGCGCACCGCGCTGCGGTGAGGTCGGTGCACCTGGCCCTGCCCTTCCTCAGTCCCGCCAGTCGCAGGCAGTGGCGGCGCCTCAGCGGGAGCGGGGCCTCCCGCCCCCTCCCTCCCCTTAGCGCCGGCTGCTCGGCCGCGGCGGGCGGGCTTCTGCTGGGGAGGGGACAGAGAAGGGAGGAGCGGAGGCAGGCGGAGAAGGAGGGAAGGAGGCAGGGCGGGCGGGAGCGCGGCGGCGGCAGATGCTGCGGCGGCGGCTGTGTCTCTTTCGGCCACATCCCGCGGCCGGTGCGCCCGCCAGGCGCGCTGCGCTACGGCGGCGCCGCGCAGCCTGCCCCAGCCGCCGCCGCAGCGGCCCCGCGCCTCGGCCGGGCGGCGGGGCGGTGGGTGCCGAGCCCGCCTCTCCCCGGCAGCCGGCAGGCAGCTGTCCTGCGGCGGAGCCCTTCGGACGCGGATCGGCGCGCTCGCACGGACACGGGGACACACGGGCGCAGACGCACGCCGGGGGGGGGGGGGGTGGGCAAGCCGAGGATGTTGCAACTGGGCAAGGTCAGGACCTTGCGGTGAAGCCCGGGGCCGTTGCTCGCCTCCTCCCCCCGCCCTCTTTCATCTTTGCCTAGCGGACTGAGGATTTGCTGTTGGGTTTTGGTGTATGTTTGGGAGAAAGCAGGCTGAATCAGCGCCGATCGGTGAGTACGACAGACACCGTAATGGTGCCAGGTTCTCCCCCCTCCTTCCCGCTTGCGTGATATTTCCTCTTGGTGCGGACTCCTGTAGTGCTCCCCTCGGCGAGGCACCCGGGATGGGCTGGGCTGGGCTGCTGGGATCTGTGCGAGAGCCGTGCTTGTGCCTTCAAGCATTAGGGTAACGAAGTGTATTTATTTCCCTTGTTTCTTCCTCCCGCGCCTCCCCCCCCCTCAACCTCCATCCTTTCCCTCTCTTTCTTTTTATGTTAGTCGTTGCTTATGTAGGGCATCCGCGGCACCGTGTCTCCCGACGCTCTGCACTAGAGTACTCGTTATGGCAGTGAAGTCATGGGCTGAGGAGGAGGAGGAAGGGGCCCGGAGACCCGCGGGCGGGGGCAGCGCCCGACCCTGCGCGGAGCCGGGCGGGAGGTGCCGGCACGATGGCCCTGGCACTGGGGCGGCTCTGGGTGGCGGCGGTAGCTCCGTGTGTCTGCCCGTTTGCTAGGGGGAGGGTGGTGGTGTCTTTCTTTGAAGCCACCGTCTGCGAAATCCTGCGCTCGAGGAGCGGTGGGAGGGGAGCCGCGATGTGCCCGATGATGTTTCGTTGATCTATATTTAATGGCTGAAAGGAAAGATGCTTTTCTTTCCTCTTACCCCTACCGTACTCTTATTCTGGTGTGTAATGTGCTTGCATCGATCGGTCAAAGCGTAGGTTCAGCTGAATCGAGCCGCCACAGAGGAGGTGCAGCAGCGCAGGCGGTACGTGTAATACACAAATTCATCTAGCCGGGGATCTTGGAGAAAAATAAAAACCCTGAAGAGGAGTCATTTTTAGAAACCATGCTAAATTTCCCCTGGAGAGATTGGAGGCACGAATACATAGAACATAGCATCTTGTGCAGAGACATTTTCTTTTTGATACTTTAAGTGTTAGGGTGTCATAATTAACCTAGTGTGTTGTAGAAAAATACCCCAACCATGCAGAAAATATCTAGAAATGAATGTTCCTTTATTAAACACCCAACTGCTAACTTTATTGGCTGTTTTAGCTGATATTTATGCCCTTTAAAACATGTATGCCTTTTTATTGGCTGTAACAACATAAAGTAAAAACTTCATGGTGCAGGTTTATTTTCAGACTGTACAGCTAGTTTTTATGTAAAGTGAAAACAGTGAATCAGCTTGAGCTGTGGTTCGTAGCAAACCTCTCTGTGGGGTCCGTCAAGACTTGCATACCTCAAGATAGCGAGGGAACTACACAGAATTATATGGAGTTTATGTAAGTCTGTTGTGAGCTTATGCAAAATCAAGGGAAGGAAAAATATCTTTTGTTATCCTGTGTTTAAGGATATATTCATCTTGTCTTAAAAAGATTACCTGATTACCTAACTCATGTAGGCTGGATTGATACGTTTCAACAGCCCTAGTCAGCTGGTCAGTGTATAAACGACATGGTGCGAGGGAGTTCGGTGCAGGTCTCCAGAGGAAGCTGCTGCGCATCCTATTTGTGGGCCTCCTGGGCTCAGATGGCTTTAGGGCTTTTGTGAGCCTGTATACCTTTACATGGTTTATCTGGGGAGAGGCCCTAGCCCTAAACCCAAACCATCTGGAAGACTGTGATCTGTAAGCAGAATGTGGAAGTTCTGTGATGATCGAATACCCTTGTAAGACCTAATTCTGAGCCAAGTTGTTGAAGCTGTCTCTTTTCAGTCAGTGAATGACTTGACCCTTTGGGAGTCTTGACTATCAGTCTGCGTCCTGCAGAACTGCAGAGAGCTTGTGATAGATAGATCATTGTCATTAATGAGAAGTTGATTAAAGGCTTGGGACTGCGTTGAATGTGATTATGTTGAATGTTGTAGCACTGAAATAGGAGATCACATCTTGATCACGTTGTTCAGAGATGGTTTTTGCAGTCTGTTATATAAGAGAGGCTTGGGGAGAAAAAAAAGAGAGTAGCGGGAAAGGAAATACCCCTCAAAGCTGCTGGTGGGAAGCAAAGTGTTTATTTCTGAATGCCAGTTGCATGACTTCTTGTGGATTGCAAGAAAGATGCTTTTGGGAGGGAACTGCAGCCTCTGTGCCCCAGTTCTGTTTATCAGGTACCTTAACAGAGTTAAAAGCAGTAAATAATAGCTCATCAGTGACACAAGCTTGTGACTTCTGCTGTAGTTTAGTGGTTTTTTTTTTGACTAACACTACTAAAATAACTTCATCCTCACATAATGAACTCTGACAGACAGCTGCACAAAATAGAAATAGTAGCAACTGAAAAAAAAAGGTGTTTGCATAATTCTGATTTGCATAATTTACCTTTGCTGATGGATGGTATCAATTTGATGGCTGTGGTTTGGTGTTCAAGTGTTTGTTCCTGAAGACACATGTAAAATGAACATGCTACAAAGGAAGTGCTTGAGCAGCTTGTTTTAAGGGTTTTAAGAAATGTATTTTTAAGTAAGGCTGTAGATTGGCATGTAAATGGAGCAGATAACGGAATCAGCAGAACTCATGAGTGGCAAATTTTGCACTAAATTTCAGATACATTTTGTGTTTCATGGTTCAGTGTGATACGATTTTTAGAGCCTGCTACTTGTGGAAATTCCAGCATATCTTTGTTAGTATTTCAGATGTGTATTTTGACAGTTTCTAAAACCATCTGTTTTCAGGAGTATCAGCAAGATAAAGAAAATACATTATTACAGTACTATTTACTTAAATAAGGACCTGTGGTTTTGATGCTTATTGATTGGGCTTGTAAATCATGAAGACTTTGATATTTCAAGTTACAGCTGCGGTTTGACAAAAATGGAATTGATTGTTTCTCCCCTTTAAAGGTCTGAGTAAGATCTTATTACAAGATAAGTTTTGGATGCTTATTTAACTGCACAATATTAAATGCAGTAGTCTAATTATTAATAATGTAAAAGTAAACTATCAGCCTTAATGGTGACAGCATTTTTAAGTATAGCACATTGTTTTTTGAGTGACAGAATGACTCTCAAATAGGTCTAAAATACATTTGCTTTTAAATGAGACTGATTCTCTACCTCCTCATACCTCTTGCCCCCTGCCCTGGACAAAAGTCACTGCACCTGTAAAACTACATTTTTCTGACCTTTTCTCTATTTTTTTATCCCCCTCCCTCCGATGGGGGCATTCTGTTATGTCAGTAGGAACTCTCCATGCAGGACAGGTATGCAGTCCTCTTTGCTCATGCACTGCAGAACATCACCCTTTGGCTAATGGCTCTTCTCTAGTTAAGCTCACTTGGAAAGAGGTCTGAATTGCAGCATGACACACTAAAACAATTTCTTCTATTCCCCTTGGGATGTGCTAACTCAGTGTTATGAATGGGTTGTAAATGCTGATCGTCTGACCAGATTCTTTGGCAGTGTGCTGGACAAAATTTAAATCGAGTAAAATTAAAAAGGAAATATGGTGTTATGTGTAAACTGATAGCCAAGTGAATAGATTTTTGGTTTCTGTTGTTGTTGTATAGTTGCCAGTTTAGTGTAAAACTAAGAAATGGAGAAACATCTCAGTATCTATGAGAGCAAATATTTAGTATTTGTTTAAGTGGCTCTTGGCATGCCAACTCTCAGTGCATTCTGCTGGCTCTTAATCTGCCTGTTCTACTTTACCAAATTCAATTATGGTAATAAGCAATAACTTCAGGAGATAGAAAGCATGGAAGAATATGTATTATCTTGTCCTTTTCACCACTGCCTATTTTATTGAAGTTTCTGAGGAAAAAAAACCCAGGCTTCTAATGAAACTTTAAAACTCTACTTCTCAGACCTACCCAAAAGGTGGTAACTTTTTTCAATTCATATGTAAAATAATAATGTTTTCTGTTCTATTTTATTAAGGTTTATTGTGTTAGCCATTATAGTTCTACTGTATGACAGACCATTATTTTACACTTGTTCTCATTCATTTTAAGAAGCCACAAATAAGCAGAGACCACTTTGAGCTGTGACAACCAAGTCAACAGCATGTGTGAGTGAAAAGGTTATCGGGGGGATGTTTTTGCATTTTCCCGCCTTCTACTCATTCCCCTTCTTTATTTTTCCTTGGAAGTTTACAATTGGTTTCTTCATCTCCCCAAAATCTTCACAGTACAGAAACTTCCTTTTGGCCAAGAAAATGTCAAAAATTGACGGTAAAACTTAAATTTGTCTGCTTGTATAACGTAAGCATATCCTTTTTTTAAGCCATACATACATTCTTCTGCCCGAACACAGTCAATTAAGTGACACCATAATATCCTTTTACAGCTGAATTTTTGAAGGGAGACAAATGAAAATGCAGGTAGCTTAAAAAGAGATCCTGATGGGGTTCCTAATTGTTCTAAAGTCACTGGCTGAGACTTAACTCTTCCATGTTAATTTAAATCTGATTAACTTCTTTTAAATTAGTAAGATGTTTGGGGCAATAATGAGGAATAAGTTTCAGAGTGGTTGTAGAAAGTTGCTGTACCTTTCGGCACTGCTAGGATTACCAAAATTTGTAATCTACGTCCTGTAAAAGGTATGTGCCTTCATTCACAACCAGTAAGCAGTTTGGGAGGGTGACTGGCAAGGGTCTCAGGGGTGTAATAAAAGGCTCCAGACAACTAATTTCAAGGAATACCCTCCTGCTTTCCAGGAGGGTACTTCTGCCATTTTTGAAGCTGGGTATCTGAAAAGCAAGAAAATATGCATTGGATGTTGAAAACAGAACATGTGAACATTAAAATTTTTCTTTATAGTATTCCATCAAAATACTGAATCTTGGGAGTGTGTGTATGTCTGGTACAGAAGCTGATGTACAGGCATGTGTGTGTGTGTTTTGGTGTGTGTTTTTTTGATATCATTTTAGATTAATCTGAGTGAAGAATCTAACTTCTGAAGGTGGTGTATGTGATTATCTGAATCAAGTCTTGGTATTCTGATATTTTCTCCTAATGTTGTAATTGGCTGGGTAGTAATTGGGTTTCTTCAAAAGCAGGTAGTTGTTGTCCA